TTTCTATGATGGACACTTCCTTTCTGTCCTTTAGGGATGTACATGAATATTCGATCTGTAATTATTATTCGAAAAATGTTACTACGTTGCTTTGCTAGCCGTAAGTGCAGTGAGTCCATGATAAATCCCAAGCACTGACTCGCAGTTATAATTCAATGCACTGGGTGGCGCTGTGGAGCGCGTTTAACAAGTTGATTGTATTGAATCATTCAAGATATTACTTTAAAAAATGCAGATTCAGGTACGGTACGGCTGTTCCAGGCGGGGTAGACGAGCGCTGAGAGCCCGGTGAGCACATCTTACAACTCCGAAAACGTCAGATCAAATTTTTAAATAGGCGCTATCTTTATAAACAAACCACATATTTGAGCTTTAAACAACTACATTGTCGACTGAAAAACTATTAAAACTACATTTCGTGACACAATAACAGTAGTATTTTTAAATTTATCCTCTGAACGTTACTATTACTAATTAAATCATGACCAAATACAACCAAAAACAAACGTTCAGTCTTGCTTATGAAAGGTAATTCCTCGAAAGCTGTTTTCAATTGTGTAGCGATGTGTACAGCCCCAAGCAGCGCACAAAACAGGCATTTTTCTCAATTCCCGGTATGAGAGGTATGGGAAGTTGCCATCCCCAACATGGCGGCGCCGTTGACATACGCTCCAGCGGCCAATAGGGCGTCTATGTATTTATTATGTCTATGGAGAAGACCTAATCAAATTAATTAATGAAACTGAGTAATCATAATATCACCGCCACAATGAGAAATCACAGTGAGCCGAAATGATACCTTGATAGCAAAATGATTTTGAGACGCATGCTTCCTGTAAGTGTCGTCACGAGACGGGTTTATGAAACCCGAAACAGGAAGTGCTGTTAGAAGCCTCCCTTAGCACACATTATCTTTGTGTCTCTGCAACGTCTGCGTTTTCTCACTCGAGCATGTGGATATTATTATTGCCTCATTTAGTATGCGCGGCTCTATGAATATGCAAATGAGCCCCGCCTCCACTCACTCACTCAGCTCAGAGATCCACTGGTTGGTTACAAGGTCGTTTGTGACGTCAGAAACACCAGCGATTTCAAACCGTGTTTTTGAGACTGTCTTTGGTTCACTGCAGTTTTAAGGAGGAAATACTCAGCAATGCTGTCGACTTATGAACTTACACATGGTGTGTCTTAAAGCGTATTAAGAACGGTGTGAACGGCGAGTCTGCGGAGGAGCAGGAGGAAGCGCAGAGGCCGGGTCCTCCTCGAGGGAAGTTCGTCTCCGCCGATCTCTCCGCCGTGGAGCGCGCTCGCAGACGCCGGGAAGAGGAGGAGAGGAGAGCGCGTGAGGAGAGACTGGCCGCCTGTGCCGAGAAACTCAAAAAACTGGATGAGAAATTCGGCAAAACTGAGAAACCCTCACGCCCTGCAGAAGCCGACAGCAAAGAGATGCTAACGCAGTCGCCAGGTCGAAGGTCATCCAAACCCCACCAGGAGGGCTGGCAGTACGCCACCAAAGGTACGCTAGTTACGATGTGGTGCTAAACCGACAGCCAATCACGTGCCTCATATTCACCTGCTTTTTGGACATGTGACGCATTGTATATAAACAGTCGTTTCGGCGTCTATAGGGGAAAAACGTCAAATGGTGACAAAACACGACAATTCTTACCTTTTGGTAGTTAGCTTTGTTCTCATCCAATAATATCACTGCAGTCAAATCAATAATTTTACTGAATATTAAGTGTATAAATGACAGCTATGCAACAGGCGACTGTATCAAGGAACGCATGTTAACTATTTTCACTGCAAAATTTTTTCCAGTCCAAATATCAAAAATTTTTTTAAAGATGCATTTACTAAAGTAGTAAAACGTCATATGATATTATGTCTTGTTTTCTGGGGAAATAAATCAAAATGAAGTGAGTTGTTGCCTTAAACAAGCAAAATGATCTGCCTATGGGGTCAGAAAAATAATCTTAATTTAAACAGAAACAACATTATTTTTCTTTCCCCATTGGCAGATAATTTTGCTTGTTTTAAGCAACAAATCACTTAATTTTGATTAATTTCCCCAGAAAACAAGACATAATATCTTATGACGTTTTACTACTTTAGTAAATGCATCTTGACTTAAGATTTTTTTATATTTGGACTGGAAACAAGACAAAAATACTAAGTAAAAAAAGCATTTTTTGCATTAAGAGTGTTTTAAACACTTCATCTCATTGAACACAGAAGTGTTGGACACACCAGCCGAGTCCTCCAGTCAGGATTACAAAGATGAAGGTTGTAATTACCACAACGAAGACGATGTTCCTGAGTCCACTTCTCCTCTCCCAGATTACGGCCGGCACCAGAAACCCGTTCCGCCCCGGTTCCAGAAGCAGCACCAGGTGAGCTTTACACGTAATCCTGTGCAGAGTAAGAGTTAACGGATCAGTTCACTTCAGAATGACAATCTCCTGATCATCCACTCTCTCACACGTCATCAAGATGTTCA